ACGCTCGCTGATAGAAAAGCCTCGATTCACGGTAAAAAAAAGTCTTAAATGCCACGATGCCCCTAGTAACTTTGCACTCGTTTGTAATAAAACTGAGCTGATAGAAAAGCCTCGATTCATGGTAAAAAAAAAGTCTTAAATGCCACGATGCCCCTAGTAACTTTGCACTCGTTTGTTCACAATAAAACTGTTGTGTTCATTGTTGGCGAGTCTTTTTGCGATCCTAAGGCACTGGAGCGGGGTTAACAGTTCACTACAACAATGTGTAATCACAACTTGCTGTACTCGCACGCACCCGATTGGGCTTCAGGTGAGTTTAAGAAACATCTATTTTGATTTTGAACCCTCAAACACGTTTAAAAAGCAACAATGTGAAGTCATTTTCATGCATTGATGAAGTGTGCTGAAAACTAAGTATACATTGTCAGCCTGTTCCCTATATACTGAGAGGAGCGAAATGCCATCAAATATCGCCTACATAAAGGTTATAAACGGAGGCTGAAGTTCCGCAATTGGAATAGCAGAATTCAATGTTTGTGCCAAAGGACTCCCCGTGGCTATACCACGCTTTCAGTTAGTGAATTGGAAACAAAAATTTGGTTCTTCACACAGTGGAATGAAACCATTTTGGTTTTGAGTGGGATTAATCAGACCTGGGTGAGTCTTCGGATAGCAAAGGTGACCGTTCACAGTTTGTGCAGGTGAACAACAGAAAGCGGTGAATGTACACCGAAAGAACACGCGATTGTCTCAAAGTGGAGCAAGAGTTCATAGCCAGTTTTCAAACGGCGCTTCAAAGATACCTATCAGCGAGCTCATGATAAGGTAACCAACCATTCACACCTAAAATAAGGCTTGTGGATTTTTGGAAGACCATAAAGCTGAGGTGTATGACAATCAATATGTTGTGGCTTATCGGATTCAAAGATAAAACCATGCAATAAAAGAATGCGAAACGCCGGTAACTCACTGTCATCCGAAGACTACCGTACCAGGAGATTTGTATGGTTAACTTGTTGACGTATCAAGGAAAAATGTGTTGAGTTCACACACAACTTACCCTACTCGAAACGACAGTGAACGTTAATCGTCTGGTTTAAGTCGCCTGCACGATACTGTGATCATATGTTATGGGCGGGGATCTCCCCATTCCCCTCCTTTAGTTGTAACACCTTTCTGGTGCCTACCTGCCACGTTATCGGAAGGACTAAGATACTGCTCGGGTTGCCCAAACCTAGAGAGGAGCCGTGGAAATGCAGATGCTGGGTTCGAACCAGGGACCTTCCGGCCAATAAATTCGCGCTTTAACCACTAGGCCGTTACGAAAACTAGAAATCTTCCTCCCTCCTAGTTGGATCTTGAGCTGAGTCGAAGCGATAGTGCTTTAAGCTTAAATCAATTTGAAAAAAACACTAGACCTTCTGGTCGCCAACACTATCACAGGTGCAGTATCTCGCTCCATCTACGAATTCCAGCTGGACTGGAACTTAAAACACAGACAAGCTTCGGTCCGAGTCATAATTCACGAAACTAAATTGTACATACTTGCTGGGATTAAATTGCCCAAAGCTACCTTCATCACTAAATTCGACAGCATAATCTCAGTTTTCAACACTGGTGCTTCGCCGCGGTACAACTATAATCCATTTAAAGCTTTATTAAATAAAATAATAAAAGTTGATGGAGGGGACTTAGTGCTAGGCAATCACAATCATTGCGAGGTGCCGGCAATTCCAGGCACTCATTCAGGTAACCTGGATGGAAACTGGCAACAACAAGAACGCCACTGTATTCCATTAGCAGTCATTTGTTGCAGCGTCTCCAACCAGGCAACGTGTGGCTCATGTGATCTTCATCTTAGAAGTTGAGCGGCAGCGACAGTAATCAGACTTTTCTTCTTTGAGTTCATTTCCCTCTTCCAGTTCAAAGGTTGACTACTTCTTTGCTTGCGCCCAAGACAGCGCCACGGTAGAACAACTGTTCTAGCAGTTTCATTTAAAAGAGGCCTCAGGGGACCAAAAGAAGGCGAATCACAATACCAAAAAAGCCCATTTGCTTACACTGATGACTATGCTATAGGTGACCGAAGTGGACGTTTAACGTGGTCTTTCGCCCAACACACTGTACATCAGGGCACATGCACAAGGGCTATGCCATTGCCACAGGTCAAAACAGCAACGCCAGTTTTAGCGAAAAGTTATTTCAACTGCAGTTTTGAATAGTACTAGTTCAAGTAGACTTGGTCTCTTTCACCATCCCCATATTCAAGCTTGAAGCTTATTTGGGAATTATACTACGTACACTTCCTCCTTCCCAAGTACAGTCTTGTCAATAAAAGATTTACGTAAGGAACCCCCGATTCGCCGGAAATGTTTCTAAAACAGCAAATGTTGTCGGAATTGATTTGTCTCACGGCTCACACTCAGCCCATCTACGCAAGGCACAGGCAACATTCACACTCATACATCCCTAATAGTAGTGAGAATTACAGAATTTAGATGGAACGAATCCCGTGCAGATGAGTCAGAATATTAGTACCAGAATGGTCATGGAGAAATTTTAACCAGAAAGAAAATCGTCTCGCTCTGTTATAAAGTCCACCTTAAAGTGAAGATTGTCAGATTATCAGGCTGTATAGATGACGCTTGCATTACGCCGATTTATGTGCTAAAAAATCTGCCCTGCCGGAATAAAAAACGACCAATCCAGTTAAAAGCAAGCAATCCGTGAGAATCTCTTAGATATATCGACTACTGGGTTGAAGACCGCTCGTTTCGGCGTGATTTCCGGACCAACTGCCTATTGACATGTTTAAGAAATTTGCCTACCTCTAGACAATTAGATTGCTCATCAGAACTGGACAGCTGTCAGAAGCGATATGACGTGTAAAAAAGCGTTCAGCTGTAACACCCTTCCGGTGCCTAGCTGCCATGCTACCCAAAGGAAGCACGAGGGCTGGGATACTGCCAGGTTGCCCAAGCCTAGACAGGGGAAGTCGAGTGGCGGAGGTCGGATTCGAACCACGGACCTTTCGGTCAGTAAATTCGGGCTCTAAACACTTGGGCCATCTCGCCCCGTGTAACAATCTACAAGCTTGTAATTTCGGTATAGTGTAGTCAGTTTCCGAAAAAGGTATCTCCTCCTGGCTTGGAAGCATCCCATGGACGTTGGTCGGAGTGGTCAGGCGGTTAAATGTATTTACTACTGTTCGTCTTTTAACGCTTTTGCGTATTAACCGGCGCGATGATCCACAACATACAAGTTTATGATGAAACCTACTTGACAACACGTAGAAAAAAAATTCACTGCATTGCTCAGCAAGATTTTGTGTTTGTATAATGAAGTTAGAAAGAATATATAATTCTTGTGGGCTGTTATGACCTATGGGTGTACAACAGCTCATCCTGTAAAAATGAGATGTTGGCCGACTCAGGCTTCACGACGATGCTGTACGATGCATCAGGCAATATGAGAGGTAGCACACGATCCGATACTAAACCACACGTGTACATACTGACCAAATTTGCTTCCTGATCCACCGGGCGATAGGCTTCATTCACCGCTCGAGTAAAAAAGTCGGATAAAGAAGGATAGCTTGACAAATCACGGTCCTTCAGCTCGTCCAGATTGCAGGCATAAATGGTGGAATAGGTTTTGTAGACTAATGACCGAAGAGGAACAGGAATCCTGCACTCGGCAACCCAGCACATTAACCGACTGGTAGCATTCAGGGGAAGTCGGCGTACTATGGTAGCCTGCAGGAGAGAGAGAGAAGGCCTCACAATTCAATTCGAACGCAACAACTAATCGTTAAGATGATAGTGAAACACAATACATAAGGATGACACAAAATTGCACGGATCAACATGGAACATGGGTGAAGCTGTGACGCATTTTCAAGACGGCTTATAGTTCACACAACAAACTATGTTACGACTGTACTAAGTTCAGTATGATAACTGTGACAGCATCTTTCACTAAAAGCGGAATGAGAACAAAGAAATGGTGAAGGCCATAGTGTGAACAGGAGAATTCATGAGCATCAGTACGACTAAATAGCTAAGCTTACGCCAAAACTAGATGCTAGAATGAAGACTGTGCAGAAGCATCTGCACAAAGACGATAGCCTATTTTTAAAAGGCCACTGATTCAGTCACTATGCTATGTCTGAAAGCATCGAGAACCAACAAGTGATTCCGCAGGGTAGTAAATCAGGAAATGGATAACCACTAGGGTTTTATGCCTCGACCGGAAGTCAGAACCCTTACAGCAGACCTTCCAACATCCAAAGAACTAGACGGAAAGCCCATCAAGGCAGATAGTCAATCGACTTACAGATGACACAATAGATGAGGCTTGCTGTTCACCTATGTAGAATGCATCAGAAACAACAAAGTTAAAACCGATAAAATTCAAAAATCCGGTGATCAGACATACTGGTTTGGTTTGCATAGCCATTGGGTGTGAAACATTTCGATGTTTCTAATCCCGCAGATAAGACAACAACAGTGTGTTACATGGGGAATAAAGTTACCGAGCAACGTTAGTTTAAACCTAACATTGGCCCGAAATTAGAGAACTACACTGCAAAATAATTTGGTTTTGCCAGAGACTCACTTGGAACCCAGCTGAATCCTTCGCTTGTGAACTGAATGTGTTGCACCAGGCAGCCTCATGTTTCAGTCGCTACGATAATCGAGATAGTCAAGAAGTTAATTATCGGTTGATTCAGTCCTAAGTTTCAAACTTTCCCCAGCAGCTTTTGATTGACTACTCTATTCATTGAGTTGCCTGGAAACATCACAAACGAGAGATTCAGCTGGGTTCCAGGTGAGTCTCTCGAAAAACCAAATTGGTTTGCAAATGAGTGTATTTCGCTAATTTCGTGCAATTTGGTTTCAAGTAGAACATAAGGTTGACGGAAACTCGGATACTGCGCCTACCTGATGAGCCCCAAGAAGGGCGAAACCGGTCGTGGGCTGTCGACGAATTTTCAGCAACCTTATGAGTAGTGCATTACCACAGACCCTTTCATCGGCCTTTCACCATAGACTGGACAAAAGAAGAAGAACCTAAAAAAGTGTACGCATATGAACCAATTACCATACCTGGCACTCGAGGGAATCTGTCTGCAAGCTATTACAAAGAGGGGGGGTTCGGGCTAGAAATGCCAGCGTGTATTAACCGACTTACATTGATCGTGTTCGGATAGTGTTCTGGTGGTTGCTCCTTGTCAGTCAGTAGTAGGTAACCCAAGTAAGTTCCTACAATCACCGACGTACCCATAAACGGCCGATATCGTAGTGCACGTGAGCGAGTGGCAGCTAAAGGATATCATTCCAAATAAATAGTAACTGTACGTATTCCATGCACCCTTCTTGCGGCCAGCTTTAGGAAGTTCCAACAGTGTGACATATCGCCAAGAAGGATGAATAGTTAGCCGTGTCCTGGGGATCCAGGTAGTCACACAGTAAAGCAGTAATCTGGAACACGAAAGTTGGAAATATCACATTACTGCACCGGAAGGAACAAGAAAACAAAGCACCTTGAGATTCTGGGCTGCAGATAATAATGGTGTTGAGGAAATGAGTACTTTGGGTGGCCGTTGATTGTTCGCCGATCAACCAATACAATCCATTGGCCAAGCTCGGGCAATAAACCAACAGTAAAAAAGGAGAAACTATTCGCTCTAAAAATAAAACCGATAGAGATCACAGGATCGGTAAAAACACTCGTCCATTTGAAGTTATAAGATGGGTATTGTGAGGATTCAGTAAGGGCATTCAGACAGCCCACTGAAAAGCAGTCTCAAATACACATGTGGTTTGATCTTCGCAAATTGAGGGCGTGACTCGCAGTAAGTCGACTGGTAGAAAAAAGTAGTAATATTACTATAAAATGGTTGTGAATGGCCTACATCCAAAACGGATTTTCCGATAAGCAGCGTTTTAAACACTAGACTAGCGCCCGTTGCTGTTAATCCAAAGATGCAGTGATGCTACGGAATGTGGTGATACGTGAAAATACCCCACAGAGACGCGTACTTGAAGGAGTGAGATCGATCTACAAACGCGCAGAGCCACCAGCCAGACTAAACATGAGGATAAAACAGGACGCACCAGCATTGGCTTTTTTACGTCAACGCACCGGCACCACCACTGATGTTCATCCCCCAGTACAACGGTAGACTCGAGCGCATCTTAATAAAACTGGCACAAACTTACATTAAGTAATCCACTCGTGTTCCCGTATTGCTATAGAGTAGGCAAGTGACCACAGGTTCAGTAACGCTCAAGGCTATGTGACCTTATATCCCTCCGGTTGTCTCAGTGGGTTACAGCCTTTTCCAATTGCTCACTCTTCTTCAAAACGAGATAGGGCCAGCGTCAAACTCTGCGCTGACAGCAGGAGGCTAAGCCAGCAAAAGCCAGACTCGATCATGATTCGGAACCGAGATTTTGACCAAGTTTTTGAACTCACTGGAAGGCAATTACAATAACGAAATCTTAGCTACCCTCGATTTTGACTTCCTACAACCAAGTGATCACAGACACCAGCATGTTTGGTGGTTTATAATGTGGCACCAATTCCGTTACAAGTGGCCTGTTCAAGTTACGTTTTTGGAATTCCATCCGTCCACGAGTCCAAACGATCTTACAACGCCACCACTGCATGCGCCTAGTCTGGGTCGCCAGCTCTGGTCCGTAACTTGACAGAAGGGTGTGGAAGGGGTTAGAGGTTGGGTTCTGTTGCAGTAAGCCTTCCAAGAAGGGGTAAGGATGCAGGCTGTCCGACCATATTTACTAACTATTAGTATTCGGTGCTAAGTAAAGCCGAACGGTACTTCATACAGCATAGCGAGATGGCCGAAGTGGTTAGAGCGCGGATTACTAACCTGAAGGTCCGCGGTTCGAATCCGACCTCCGCCACTCGACTTCCCCTGTCTAGGCTTGGGCAACCTGGCAGTATCCCAGCCCTCGTGCTTCCTTCGGGTGGCATGGCAGCTAGGCACCGGAAGGGTGCTACAGCTGAACGCTTTCTTTCTTTCTTTCTTAGCTGGAAACATTGCAAAAAATGGCGGCTGATCGATGCCAGTAGCGTACGTCTTGTCGGTTTCTTTCTAGGTTGTCTGACTGAGTGCATGGAGATTGGGAACCTTAGAATGCTTAAGATACATCAGCACTAGGTCCTCTCCTCCACCAGCCTTTTTCTTTTCATTCTGAGGCCTTAAATATAATTAGATTAACTTTATGGTTGTGCGACAGTAAGGCATCAATGCTAACACTAATGCTGTCTCTGATGATGATGATCCACCACTCAAATATACGAAGAACGGAGTCGCTCCCCTCGCGCATTCAAATATTCACCTTGAGGTTGGAGTGGCAACATCTAAATCCATCACCTTTGTCCTCTTCCACTTCATGTGAATTATTCGTCATGAAGACCAAAAGGTAAGAAAACTGGGATAATACCCAATGCTTGTTTCAAAATTGGGGTTCGTGACCACATCCGCTCATCGTATTCAGTCTCCCCATTTGGCCCCAACTGGCATACGTTATCTTCTAAGGTTGAGTGACCCAGATAAGTTGTCCCAGAAGTTAAGGAATAATTTCAGTAGTATTGGTGCATGGGAATGAAGATTATGAAACCATTCAACAGTCAAACTCCACCACAAGGTTGTACACTGCCGACGATTTCAACGTACATATCACTGATTTGGAGCTCACTGGACACAGGCCCAAAAATCCGAGACAGCTTCTGGAAACCAGGGGCTCCATCTCAAACTGCCTAGTGTCCGGCTCGAATTCTAGGTCATAAGGACTTTCACTAGATCCTCGAAATGTTTCTGACTACCATTTCTGATTGGAGCATTACCAAGTGTTCCGCCCTAAAAGGTCCCTTCGATCGTTCTCTGAATCCTAGTGTCTATTTGGTCGTGTATTCAATCCACCTGCCAGTCTCGTCGTACTTCCTGGTGTTGTTTTTCCACTGACTGAGGTATGCATCAGTTTCTTGCTTTCTCTCCCTGGAAAGTCTGTACTTCGAATAAGGCCTCAACTTTTGATAGCATTTTTACTGATTCTCCTTATGATGCAAAGCTGGGATTCTTCACCTGCACCCTCCTGGATGGCTTAATCACGAAGCCCCGTATTGTGCTTAGGAGTCGGATGGCATGAATACGCCCTTCAACAAATAAATGTTCCGTTCCATCCGCAACTCCTGCTTCACCGCCTTCCCTGAGGCTGCGGATGTGTTAGCCGCAAGGCTAATCAACTGTCTGATGCATCCGATAAAGGCGTCAGCCACGAGTTCTTTCCAACCGTCTATACCCACTTCTAAAAAACCAGGTCCTTGCCACAAGAGAAACTGAAATCTCAATTATTTTTTTACCCCAAACTAAATCACATTTCTCAAACCACTCTTCCATACTCACCGTTAACAAAAGGAACCTTTGCTACTTATTAATGTCCCTCAAAACAACAAAGCTTCTGTGGGCTATGAATCCCACTTTGAAGGCGCTCGACAGAACTCGCTCTTGTTGTCGCTTATATCTTCCGCCTATCTTTATCCAGAAGTACCTGCGATTCAGAAAACACGGGCCGCTCTGTGACCCGAACGAACGGCTCATTTCAATCAGTCCTCATTTTGTCCGAAATCCACGAGTTCATCCTGACCAAGAAATAACTGCGTGGTCCCGAGTATAATCTCACAAAGGAGTCATCATGTCCAAAAGCACTGTCGGGTTAGATAAGCTTACGGTAGCGTGAATCAGCTAAGGAGCGGAAAATGTAACCCGTCTTAACTAGATTCTTCACACAAATTTTGGAGCAAGGACTCTAAGGAATACAGCGGTTGATCATGGATTGTTACTTCCGAAAGCGAATGAATTACCTCCCTCAAAAGTTGCATAACAGGTCCTGACGAAAACCCACCCGCTGTTTAAAGACTGATGTGAATACATGTCCGTGCTTGTATCACTTACACATATCTGGATGAATCAATCAATCGATTTATCAGCTATAAACCGTGTTCTATAGGCACAATGCTTCCAACTGCTACAGTTTCGATCGCCAGAAAGTGGGATAGTGCGAGATATACAGCAAAGTCTTGGAGGCGGTTGAATGTTCAGTTAGTTCGGGAATCGGGTAGCTACGCACTGAAGACAACAACTCTGATGCATAAGCGCCACTGACTGCGCATTTTGGCCATTCATACCAGCGTCATTAACCATTGATGAGTTGAGTCTCGGGTTCCCATACAGGGAGCCGACAGTTGTCAACACGAACAAGTTTACTGGTTCGTGTCCTCATACTTCGTTGCCAGATCGTACACTGTCTAGCTCTCGGTAGCCTCCAGTCAGGGAAGTGGTGGGCGAAAAGAGCTCTGAGGCAGACGGTCTTCTGGCATGAGGGGTACATGTCCTAACCAGGGTAACCTATGGAGCATGAGTAATGAATTCATCTATCGCAAGAGGGTTCATTACTCCGAAGACCATCTGGCGTACCTTAGCATTACTAAATCCGTGTTCCTAACAAACCTGACCAATTTTCTGGAGACACTGATGGTCAAACACTGACATTCTTTGTATGTCCTCGGAACGTAAAGGCCACGTCTCTGATCCATAAAGCAGTATGGATAGCAACGCCCAGGTGTGAATTTGCCCCCGACAGACAAACTCAAGTCACGTCGATGCCACAGATGTCTGAGGTTGGCAAAAACTGCCTTAATTTTCCTGATTCGATAAATAACTTCATATCCAGCCAGTTCGCCGGAACTTACAAATTTGGAAGGGACATCTTTGGTCACCAGACACCGCCAAAATTTCTCACGATCGACAGAGTCAAAAGCAGATTTTAAATCAATAACAACCAACAAGAGACGTTTGAAGCAGTGGCGCTGTCCGAGAATTTGTCTCAGGGGTATAAATACGGCCTAGGAATCCTCGGCCGCGGCGGAACTCAGCTTGATTTCCACGAACCTGCTTCTCCCGATAGTAGACCAACCTGTGCAAAATAATCCAAGAGAGCACCTTAGATGCGACGGATACCAGACTGATGCCGCAATGGTTTCGCTCTTGCGCCATTTTTGAAAACTGGGATGACGGTCGAGGAGAACCATTCGGCTGGTACTCTGTTTTCGTTGCAATTCTTCTGCAGTGTGGATGTTAGACTGCTCACTAGGTCCTTTTTTGAAGAATGCGGAATACAGACCATCTGCGCCAGGCGTCTTGACGTACTTGGGAACTGATGTCTCACGCTGTTTTTGATGGTGGACTGGTGTCGATGTGCCATTCAGACACGCCGGGTTCTTTTAGCGGTTGTGTTGAAAGAGACAAGCTGAACTGTTCTTTGAAGTGTTCAGAAGACCGCTCAAGAAAATGGCTGAGGGAGTTAATTGCTATTCCTCCTTTTTGCATATTGTTTTACCGACACCTGCCTTCGTTTGTCGGATGATCGAGTCATTTCAAATAGGGCGCGGCTATTGCCTGTGGCGAAAGCCTTCTCCATCTTCTAGGCCTTCGAAATCCACCAGCGCTCCGTAGAATTCTTCAAGCTCCTGATTATCCTGTGTTTGAGGGATCTGCGTGCACCATCCCAGTCGCTAGTTGCTA